CAATTAATCATGTGAATAAATTATAATGAAAAGGAAAAAAAAATCTGCTGCTTAAATCATCACAGAAATAAGTAGTTCAATCTCCTGAACTCTATTTTCCTCTCATTAAATTAGGTCCAAATCAAAATGTCTTGTTCAAGAGCTGAAGAAAGAAAATGTTTTAGTAAATTATTTTTTCCTGTCTTTAGCACGCTCAAAAAACTACAGACATAAGTCTCCCATAAGTAGTACAACGAGAGCCAACGAAACAAAAATACTTTATAAAATAAAGAAACGAGATACAATTTCAGGTCTTTTCTTTCTGCTTATTGAGATGTACAGTTTCTCTGAATGACAGTGACTGTGAAAGAGTTGATCTGGGCTAACAAACCTCTTGAAAATGAAAGAAAATATGGTCTTAAAAACCATCACCTTGTAAAACAAGAAGTGACAAATCAATTTTGAACAGATCCTAAAAACATGCCTTTCTGTGAAACATAATCAAAGTTTAGTGTGAGCACACTTGGACAGAACATGCTGAAAAAAGAATTGAAGTAGAATACATATCTATTGCGTAAGCAGTTTAATGAGTCTTACTTTAAGCCTTTTTGATCTGGCTTGGGCAAAATACTCCACCAGACTACATCAGCAGGTACAGAAGGGGAGCAAGCTAATCCTGGAAAGGAAGCCTTTATACTAAGAACTGTTTTGAATTTTACAGAAACTTACTTTGTGGACTGCTTAAGTGCTAAATGATCTTTTTTCTTCAGAAAAAGATGGTTGCAACTAGGATACAGGTTTACACCATTTTAATGACAATGTTTACAGGTAAATATTTTCTTTTTGTGAAATTATATATGCACTTAGACTGTACTGAACATGTAGTATCTATCCAGACTGCTTGCTTGTACTTGCTTGATATTTATATAGTGTCAAGGAACTGGAAAGGCAGAAGGCTGTAAATAGATTTCTAACCAAAGGTGTGTATCTGAAGTGTAACTTGGATAATACTTTTATAATTCTTTAATCAAAATGAAAAGTAGTGGTGTTCAGCAGAATTATGCTTGAATAATTGCTTTTGTCATCCTGCTTCTGCAGGAAACCTTTGCTGCTAAATTTGAAACAGATATAGTTGAATTAAGAGGTTAACAGTTAGAAAATAGCTGCCCTATAGTAATAACATGTAAGTGAAAAAAGGAGACAGGTATGAGTGGTGTTATCAAACTGAGGCAAAGGAGCTGTCTCATCTCTGTTTTGAATAAAACTTCACAGGAGGAAAAAGTAATCATTATCTATAAAAATATTCACATTATCTGGAATTTTAGGTAGGTGTGTGATATATTTAGAAGAGAAAATGCTGAATGATTTTACTTTACTTTTTACTTTAAAAACACAAATATGTTTAGCTGTGCTAATGCATGTAACCACTGAAAAGAAAATAATAGTTCCCCTTGCACTTGTTTTTGGTATGACTTTCATCTTTTGAGAATATTTTTTTTTTTTACATGCTGAACTTCTCCAACCTGAGCTATTTGAACTGCTTATACAGTTCTATAAATATTGACTAATCCTTTTATCTAGTGTGCTTTTATCTTGAGTGACAATGGTCTTTGCTTGTATAGAAATTGGCAGATAACAAGCAATAACAACACCGCTTGTAAGAACAGCTGATTTTTTTATTCTTGATATGAAAAAATGGCTTATTATTTGTCTTTTGGTGTGACCTATATTTATGGTTGTGCTAATCTTATTCTGCAATAGTAGGCATATAGATGTAAGTGTATACATGTGTGTATATATATATACACACAACCCTGCAAAATAGTTATTTTGCAACATATTATTTCTGTCATTACTTTAAAAATAAGCATTGTATTCAGACACTGAAATACTTATGAAATCACACGTATTTAAGTGGCTCTATGATAGTCACTTTGCATTTAGTAACTGATATCATTCATTTTCTATAGGCAAGGAATACACTAACAATAATCTGTATACCTCCTCATAAAACTCATTTTATTTCTTTGTTAGACATTGATGCTTTTGTTATCAAATGTGTTATCTAACTTTAAAGGTAGAAACACATGATTTCCAAAGAAGTTTAGCATTCTCATGAAACCATTTCATTAATTTTACGTCTAATTTGATGAAGTAGAGAACAACGCAGACACTAAACATTACTGTAAAGTTGGGTTCAGTTTATGCACCTGTTTCATCCTTTCCAGAGACAAGTCACTATTGCAAGGTATGACTCAGACCACAAGCTACAAGGCAAAGGTGATGCCTCGCAGGTGCTGTGGGATAATAAACTAATATACACAGAGTCATCATGCATTACTGAAAATGCAGGAACTAAGTATCTAGATTTTTTCCATGAAAGGTTTTATAGAGGCTCCCAGTCTATAAATCCTTAAGCACACTCTGACCACTCTGAAGCCCTGTGACAAGGCTAAGTACATCCCTGATCCTACTGCTTCTAGGCTGTACTAATTTTTACCTCTGACACAAAAACCCCAGAGAGACCTGCATTTCTACAGCCGTCACATTAAGACTGAGTTGTATACAAGACCTGTGTACGCATTGTTCTCGATGTCAAAGCAGGGAAAGGAGCAATACCATGCAGGAGATGTACTAAAACATTGACCAAAACAGGAAACAGCTCACGGTAACTTCACTTTTCATATACTAGAAGAGCAAAAGCAGGACAAGTCGCTAACAGAGAAATTGCCACAAACTGGGCAGAGCAGACATCGTTCTGGCCCCCAGTCAGTAACAATTTGGGAAGTGCACTTCACTTTGAGAAAGTCAGTCCCAATGGGTCACGTTTCTGCCAGATGCCACTACACATTAAGGTATACATAGACATCTCACGTTGGAATAAATATGAGCCTGGCTGGAAAACAGAGAGAGACTGCTGCTGTAAAACCCCACTGCCAGATCAGGGAGATAGCACTAGCTGTGTTTGATAATCTGAAGCTTCAAGTGAAAACTATATGCTGTAATTGAAGACTGATGAGTGAGGAGGATCGCTGCGGAGAGGGCCTTTTATATACATGCTATGACCACTTCATTCTGGCTAATCTTTCAAACAAATCTCAACCAATTCTCAGTTCCCTTCTGGCTCTCCTGTAACTTACCGCTCTCTGAGATGGGTCTAGTTACAATTGTGATTGAATAAAGTGGACAGGCAAGGAATTAGCCTGAGTAACTACATTTATCTACTGCTGTTTGAAGGAATTCATTGTGGCTGTGTGCTGCTCTGTAATTTTCCATGAAAAATCGCTGTGTTTTGCTGTAAAAATAAAGCTCAATGGGAATTTGTATGTAAAGCTAGGTGTGGTGCTTGGTACCTAGCTGCAACTCTGTGAGTCTCAGCATACCTCATTATCTAATTTACAGGCAGCAGTTTTGTTGTGGGGACAGGCATAATTATGTCTATTAACTACTTTATGCTGATGATACTAGTTTGAAAACTAGCTGCAAAGTATTTCTTATTTTTCTCTAGAATAACTATGAAGGGAAGTGGAAATACTAGGATCTGCACTTAGCATGAGTTTTCAAAAGAAGTATTTGGATATTTTGACTGCTTCCAAGGGAGATAAGAAACAGATTTTCCCTGATCCATACATACATATCGGTCACTTGATTGCTCAAGGGAGACGTTACTATAATTACTGCTTTATAGATGAATGCCAGTGCAGAGGGATAAACAGATTAGTTTTACAAGAGGAACAGATTTGTTTTCCTTTGTGAAGTCTGATCCAGTAGACATACGTAGGTCACATCTATCAAATTACAGCGAAGCTGAGATGAGGAGATCTCCTTTTACCCAATATACCAGAAGCCAAGCATCATATGGAAGAAGAGGAAATATGAGTCTGTATTGCCCATCTTCTACGGAAGTGCTCTCACCACCAAGCTCTGAGACGTCTGAGAAAATACTTCTTTCATCTTTTCTTGCTTTATATTTTGTATATATGAGAGGTAAAGAAAGTTCCACTGTAGATACACAGTACCAGGAATATTCTGCTGGGACATACAGGTTCAAACCCCTCCAACAGCTTCTCTCAGATACTCACGTCCCAAGTGAACTCTCCTCACAGTATGAGACCATGGCTGATGGACCAGAAGTCACTGCTGCCTTGGTTTTGGAAGAATTGAGATCCGTTGTTCATTTTTGAATAACTGCAATATGCACCTAACCCTGAAATGGGGCAACTGCCCGCTCGTTGTGGGTGGGCTGAATCCCACTGCATCTTGCCCAGACCGCTGATAGGATACACGTTTAAGCTCTTCTTTAGATTTCTTATTGTCACACTGTGCAGCTCCCTGCTCACTCTGTGAATTTCATTCTTCAGATAGTCAGCTCGCTGTACATACATTTTGCAGGGATGTTCACCTACTTGCCAGTCTGTCCCACTATATCATATAGTACTTACTTATAAGTCCTGTGGCTCTCACTTGAAGATTGTTGCTCCAAGATGTTTCATATGGGACCAGGAATACTAGCCTGTAATTCTTCTACTGTTTGAATGAATGTGAAAGAGAAGGAAAGACCAGCAGACTGTACTCCAGCTCATCAACATACTGTATTATGAATATGAATTAAGCAACAACGCTTGGCTTTTTATATGTGATAAATAATTCAGTTCCTCTCAAAGCATTCTCGATTTCTACCACAGAATAGGTGGGAAACAATTACTTGATCACATCTTTTGGAGGTGATGTTTATCTCAATTTCATCACACTATCTATATCAAAACTGTCAATTTGTTTGGTTCTTTTCTCCAAAATGTGATTATTGCTAAGGTGTTTATATAATACTTTGCACAAGACAATCATGTCATGTGAATTGTATTTTTATATTTAGCATATTTTAGGCTTGTGAGTCAATCATGTATTTATCAAGACATTTCCCTCTAATTAAAGATAATTTAATAAAACACATGTTAGTAAAAATGTCATTTTGGGCTCCAGTTATCCAATCCAGAATGTCTAATTCTTTGTTTATTCTTCAGGTACTCACTGTGATGAAGACATCAACGAATGTTACACAAACCCTTGCCAAAATGGTGGAATCTGTGAGAATTTTCCTGGGAATTACACTTGCCATTGCCCACCTGCAGACAAAGAAGGAATTTATTACGGTGGCTGGAACTGTACAGAAGTTCTCCATGGCTGTACTGATCAGCAATGCCAAAACAACGGAATATGTATCCCACATTTAAAAAATGGCCAACATGGATTCAGCTGTATATGTTCACCTGGGTATACTGGAATACACTGTGAAACCATAACCACGTTTTCTTTTCAAGGAAACAGTTTCCTTTTGTTGAAGAATCCCCTGACCTCTAAAAAGGAATTCTTCTATAATATAAACCTGAGGTTTCAAACTGTGCAACCTGCAGCTTTTCTGTTTTACCGAGGGGAGAAAAATACATTTGCGAAGCTGGAGTTACTGAATGGCTACTTACACTTATCTGTGCAAGTCAATAACCAGCCACAGGCTCTTTTGCATATTTCACATAATGTCAGTGATGGAGAATGGCATTCAGTGGAGGTAACCTTGGCAAGAGCTGTTACTCTTAATTTGCTTGACAGCTCTTGTGTAGAATCGTGTCTCAATAAAACGTCTGCTATGATAGATAACGATCACGTGATGCTTGCATTTCAGAGCACGTTTTTGGGCGGCTTACCAGTGGGGAACATTAGCGGCAACTCTCTACTTAACATCTATAATATACATTCTGCACCTTCATTTGTAGGCTGTCTTCAGGACATTGAAATAGACTTGAATGTTATTACTCCAGAGAATGTATCACCTGAATCATCTTTAAATGTCAGGACAGGATGTCCTAAAAAGGACTGGTGTGAAACCCACCCTTGTCAGAACAGGGGACGCTGTACCAACCTGTGGCTGAGCTACCACTGCGATTGCTACCGGCCATACACAGGGCCCAGCTGCACAACAGGTAAGGGAATGCTGTTGGGATTCATATTTTAAACAGTTGCTGAAAACATGATTATAAACAATCCTGTTTACCTGGTGATGAAACAGCATGACCCTTAGGATCTCTGGAGCTTAATGTCAACTGGTAAGAAAGTGCAAGAGGTTAGTAGTAGCACGCCTTCATTATTTTCTAGTTACTTTCCCCAGAAGGCTGCTTTTCAGCCTGACAAAAAAAGTCAGGCTAAGCTGGTGGATTCCACTCACCCAGTTTTAAAATTTTCTTAGTGCTCTTAGCACGCCATAAACTCTGGAAAACTGTAGTTCACTGGAGGTTATGCACCCGAAGTAAAATTTAGAAAGTAACCAAGTCACTTGGAGTTTAAATCTTACTTTCAAAGCATTCTTTGAAAATTTTATCCTCAAGCTCTCTAGGCTTTTATAAAGAAACTCATTTAAGGCAATGAAAGGCAAGCAAAAGTACTGCAAGTTAAAAAAAGACAGATTCCAATTTTAAAAAATGAACAAGATTATACTATTAACTTAATCTGATTAGCCCAAGGAGAAGACAGGGCTTCAGAGGCTGGAAACAGAGCCTATTCATCTCTCAGCTGGTCCCAAGGCAGCTCTGGACAATTGCTGACGAAGGCGGCCATTACCAGAGAGCTGCTTGGTGACCAGAGGGAAACGTGTCCGTGTCTCAGTGAACAAAAGGGCACATCTCAGCAAACAGCCCCTTTGGCAGTGACAAGCAGGGATACAAAAGCTGCAGATGCCCGTAGCACTTTCCCTGCTACAAATGACCTTTCCAAGAGCAGGCTGAGGCAAAGTGGAAGGACAACAGGAGGTCCCTGCCCAGCTCCCTGCTATAGTGCGTCTGGCGTATGAAACCCTCTGGAGCTGTAAATATAGCACCCCTCAGGAACATTTTGGAGTGGACTCTGCAATCTTTCCTCAGCAAAAGTTTTAGGGATTTCAAACAAACGGTTTTGTTTAAGAAAATTATACAGGACTCAGTCTTCCACGCGGCGCCCTTGCCCCTGCTTCCCTCTCTGCCCCCTTACTAAGCATCCACACATGGTCAATCATAGCAATGTTTAGGGAGGAAGAAATACATACATACATACACGTATACATACATACATATATTTATGTACATATATTTGCCAAGTGGACTGGAAAAAATGAAGTGCAACAGCACAGCCATGGTCAGATTGGAATGGACAGATCCTAAACTGGTGTAAACTGGCGTGGCTGCACTGCCGCCAGTGAAGCTACATTGATTTACATCAGCTGAACGACTGACCCCAGGGGTTTATTGAATGCATTGCTGCAGAAAGCTGCAGCTTGAAATACATTTCAAAATGTTTAAATACAATTTCATTTTGTATGCTATGCTTGATAGTTATCAATACTTTTCAATAGTTTTTCTTTTTGGTTTTATTGCAAAATGACAAAGTCTGAGAGGTAATTGTAACAGACTTCTTTGAAGTCTAGCTGTAATTTATCCAATGATTTGGAGAGCAACTTTGGAGTATAGGACGACATCTGGTAAATATGCTTGCCTCCTTATATGAAGCAAAATTAAAACCAGTCAGGGCCAGGAGAGGCTTATACTGGCATTAGAACTGTTGAGAATGATTAGAAAGCATGCATTA